TTTACTAGTGCTTATTAAAACATACCCCAGTCTGAGTTCCCAATTTTCAGAATGAATAAAACATCTACTGGCATCAATTAATGATCCACGTTTGTAATAGTTTTCTCTCTGATGTGTTGACTAGGACTAACATTCATGTGTTTATTTTCTTGTAAAGAAATACGTCTTGAATGAAGGATCTGCTAAAGATTCTCCTTACTCCAATAAATTTTACAAGAAAGTGCTTTTCCAGACGAATGTGCTAAAACATTTTTACATGCTTTTCCTTAATTAGCTGCCTTTTTTCCATATCATAATATGAAGAATTCATGAAATTTCGTTGAAGATTACCTTCATTTCTGAATACTGCAGAGAGGTTTTCTTTATGTTCTGGTGTGTAGGGTATTTAGACTTTGTTTATCACCAGATTACATATAAAACCCACATCTCTACAAGTTTAAAAAGTGGGCAATTTACACTGCTGTGTAGGTTTGTTTGTTTGGGTTTTTTTTAAGTACTTAGACCTCACTCCCTTGAAAGAGGTTTTTAGAAGTAACCAATTGTCTACTATAAAAATCCATGTGGTACATCAGTTTCCTTGTTCATCTATTATTTCAGTTAAGGATGGATTCTTTCTAATGAAGCGAAGTATGGGTATTCTGGTGACAAAACTAAGGATGGACTTAACGGCATGTCCATAAATACATGCAAGTCTGGACCTGTTCAAGAGAAACCAGAACGTCCCTGTATGATTAGCAACAGGCTGGTGGAGGGCTTATGGGCAAGACAGTACATTCTCCCTCTTACATGGAATCCTAATTCTTGTCTTGCAACTACCTAATATTTGGTTTTACTTCCTTTTCATCTGCTTCATCCTCACTGTCATCTACTTGCTGAATGACCAAGTCGTTCGACCCGTCCTCCACAATCTCCACATCAGATCTGTTGTCTTCCCCATAGTGCCACCTGGAATCCTTATCCCCATCCTGTGGGAATTCAAGGGGTGCTTCAGCCTCCAAGTCAATGCGAATACTGTCTATGCCAGCTTCAGCCAAACACTCATTACAGAGTCTGTAACGCCTTGTCCCCTCTTGGACCACTTGTCCTGTCAGCTCCGTCACGTGGCGTTTACACTTTCTGCAGATAGGCTTACAAGCCTGATGAATCTGGGAAAATTGAAACGAATAAAATTCATAATGTAGCCACAAAGAAGTGGGTTTTAAGATGACAAAAAGTAGGGCTGGAGTAGCATCAAATGGTAGTGTTAACTCATTCCAAGAGACAGCCACCAAAGGTTAAAAATGAAACACTCACAGGCGTTGTGATGGCCCACTTAAGCTCTACTGCAGGTCTTGCTTAGCGAGCCACCAATTAACAAAGAAATTCATCCCCTTTCATACAAATTATGCTTCAAATCGACTTCCACAAAACCAGATTAATTTTCCATCACCTCTTCTTTACGGGAGTCAATACATCAACCAGATACACTTGTACTGTGCTTAATTATACTGAGACAGATTTATACATTGAACAAATCATGCAGTTACTAAAATTACATACTGTTCGGAAATGGCTACTTAGGTGATCCAGCCTGCTGAATCTTTTCCCACATGCCTCGCAGGGGTAAGGGCGCTCTCCTGTGTGACAGCGAAGGTGACGCTTCAGGTCTGCTTTTCTTTTCACCACATGAGTGCAGAATGGGCACTTGAACCTCATCCTGGGCAGATCATCTGTTAGAAAATAATGCGATTAAAAAAAAACATACAGCAAGTCATAACATGTCTAAGTCATGTAGAGCTCTGGGAAAAGGCATTCTATGAGCAGAACAGCAAATCACTTTTATTAAAAAAAAAAAAAATCACAGGTCTTTTCAAGTACAAAGATCTTGTTTTCCTGTAAATTACACAGGAGTGCAACAAAGGAAAAGGAGTGAGCCATTAGCTGTATTAAAATGAGCTTAACAATATCCCAAAAGATCATGACTTAAATTTGCAAGAGGAAGCTGTAGAGACACGAAAGATCACGTATTTTGAAAGACTAGTTTTACTAAACCAGGTGCTTCCATCATTCACAATTACTAAAAAACTGTTAAATTAGCAAAAAAGAGTTTCCAAACTTACAGTTCTAGACAACACAGATGTCTTTTGGGCAACTGTACACTCAGTAATGTTCAGTAAAGTACATTTCCTCACGGGCAGAAGAGACGGCTGGCAGATGAACATGTGCCTACAGCATTAGACCTCCTCTTACCTTCAGCCCAGCTGCCCATGACACTCAGGATGGAGGGCATGCTCGCGTACTGCTCATCCACTTTCGAGGACTTCGATTTACTGGAAGAACGGGGCGATTCGTGCTCCTGCTGTGACACAGCCAAGCTCCTCGGCATCACGTCAGACCCTTGGCCATACTGGTATCCCACGTGAGGGGATTCAACTTCTGCTTCGATCTGAACTTGCTCCTCAGACTGAGTAATATGGCCAGCGGGCTCAGCAGCCCTGTCCTCCAGTTTGCTTGATTTATAGTGAGGAATGTCAGAAGGCTGCTGCAGTCCCAGGTGCCGGGATTTCTTCATGGAATCCTGCCGCTGCTCATGTTTGGACAGCTGCTGCTGGGCATTTCTTTGAGAAGTCGGATAGTAGCTGAAATTGCTCCAAGTGTTTCCACCCATCATACATGTCCCTTGGTCCGGACTCAAGTGCGAATGCGGGGGGCTGCTCTCCGCCCTCCAGCCTGCGCTGTACAAGCAGGATCGCTCCACGCCGTTCGAGTTTGCATCTTTGTCCGAGAGGCTGAAGTAGCGATCCTTCTCCTTCTCACTGATGTCCAGCGACGACTTAATGAACGTTTTACACACACTGATAACATCGGTCATCTGCAGATAGCTAGCGGCCGACATGACTTCGATCACATTCTGACCAGTGAGAGACAGTTTGCCTGAATACACAAAATCTAGAATAACTGTAAACGTGTCAGGAGAAAATGCCTGGAAAGTAGCGGTTGTTGGCTGGCTCGTCTCCT